GGTTTACTCTTCTTCATTGTCTTGCAAGTATCTTTATGCTAACACATATTAGAAACTAAGTAAGGAAAATATAGAAATATACATTAAACAAAACCAACACTCATGCCCCCAAAATACTCCAAGATATGCTTAACTCTGAAAATTTTACAATGAAAATGGAAATATGGAAATACTATAGAACCAATAGGGCAAGGAACGCCCAGTAAATTTCACAAGTGATGAAATTAAGTACACAAGATCAATGGTTCCAAGACAAAGAAAAAAGATAAATTAAAAAACAACTAATTCTACGAAACCAGCAACACATCACAATATTCAGTCTGAGTCCCTTAAAGACAGACTGAAACTAAATTCAATAAGAAAGCTTACCGATTGAGAATGATGGAGAGGAAACTTGTGCTTCTACTGGGTTTTATGATTCTGCTTTTGCCTCCACTAGTTCTTATGATTCCGATTGTCTCCACTTCTATTTCCTTTCGCTGCCACTTTTTGCTTCCCTTTTATTGACTTGCTGTTGTAAAGCAGTAGGAGGACTTGTTCAAGTTAGACAATATAATATTTAACTAATAGATAAAGTAATGGCCAAAGAAGCTTAATTAACTACTAATTAACCAAAGTCAAGTCTCAGCTGTCATTTCTTACGTTCCTTTTATTCACTTGTTGTTGTATAGCAGTAGGGGAACTTGTTCAAATTATAGACAATATAATATTTAACTAATAGATAAAATAATGGCCAAAGAAGCTCAATTAACTACTAATAAAACAAAGTCAAGTCCGACAACCGCTCTCCTTTTGGTATGAAGATATAGTCTGAGAGCATTAGATGAAAATGACAAAGTGTGGGGGGGGACGAGATTGTTCTGGAAATGGAGGAAGAGCATGGTAATAATTGAATCATGCCCTTTTGTTCTTTTTTATGGTGAGAATAAATACAAGGTGATCGATACATGGCTTATTCATGACTTGTCTGTTGATCGACTACTACCATAATGTGGTGGTCATTCCATGTCCACTTGGCAGCATTCTAGGCCTATAACATGTGGCTTCTAAATTCATTTGGATGCCCATAGAGTGGAGAGGAAGAGAAAACCCACAAGTTTTCCATGTTAAGAATCAAGTTAAGAACCAAATTTCTCGCATAATCAACATTATCAAATAAAAATGGAGGCGTATAAACTTGAATCCATACAGAGATGAAATGGAAACCAAAGTACACCCATGACTACTGTATCGCCATAGATACAAAGATAAACTGAAAAACACAAATAAAAAGCATACTGTCTGCAGTCATAGCCAATACAACACAAGAGAGAAGCACAACAACACTGTCATCAATGGTATCACCCATCAAAATGCCAAACGTTGCTTCGCATCATAACTGAAAAAGTTCTTTCAAGGGATGATTCCGAATTCCAAACTAAAGACACAGGATCCGAATTCAATTCTAGTCCCCGACCAACCACTTGCTTTGTTGCTTATGCAAACTGTACCAATCCGTTCCCCAGCACAACAACACCAAAATTTTGAAAATGAAACCATTAAACTCCTGCTTCAAATTCGAGTATACCCAGTTCTAGTGCTTCTCAAAGGCTGGTGGCTAGTGATGTTTACTTCCCACACAGAGAGCAACCCACCTTTCGTTTCTCTCTCCTCGTCTAGAAACAAGGAAGAAAGAAAAACCAGAGCAAACAGGACAAATTTAAGGACGAAGACTTACCAGTAGAACTTTGGATTTTCGATGGTTGTGAACGACAGCTAATCAATTCCAATTGTAGAAGCCTACTTTCTCGTGTCCTCCGCCTCAATTGCAAACCAAAGACAATGGAAATGCTTCCCCCAGAATTCTGAACATACAAACCCTAAGAGGGTTTCATTGCTTCTAGGCGTGGAGTGGAGACGGGGCCGGCTCGAGAAGAGGGCTTGCAGGAGCTCAGATCGAGTGTTGGAGGTATGGGGGCGCAGTTCGTGGTCAACGAAGACGCTGGAGAAGATCGTCGCACGAGCTCCGATTGAGATGGAGAAGACGCTCGCTCAGTTTGCTCTCTTTCTTTTGCTCGGATTTTGGTATGAGTGAAAAGGATATATTTTCTCCGCATAGCAGCTTTTGACATTGAAAATTAATAAACATAAAGTTTTAATAAATAAAAAATTACTAGCCACGGGGTTTTTTAGTTTCAGTCCTCAAAGATTAACAACTACCGTATTAGCCCCATAACAACCACCGTATGCATATACCATGGTTAATAAGTCATTATTAACTACCGTATTTAGTACGGTGGTCGATTATACACTATTAACTACCGTATTTTATACGGTGGTGAACTTACGGTGGTTACAAGTGCTTTTTCCTGTAGTGTTTCTAGCCAGAGGCAGAATGACACTTTTAAAACCCGTTCTTTCCAGCCAGCCTGTTTACTACTTTTCTCTCTTCAGGGCCCCTAATACGGTTACGAAAAGACTGGAAAGTATACAGAGAAGGTTCTTTTGGAGTGGTACAGGAGAAACCTGTAAGATGTCTTTGGTTAAATGGGATGTATGTAAAGCCCCAGTTTCTCAAGGGGGACTTGGGATTTTGGATATGGCGTGCTTTAATAAAGCCATGCTGGGGAAGTGGCTTTGGCGTTTCGCTACGGAAAGAGGAAGCTGATGGAGATATTTGATTAGTTCTAAGTACCCAAACCAGCATTCAGATTGGTGCACTAGGAGGAGCAGACAAGGTTTTGCCGGATCGGTTTGGGCTAACATCTCTAAAGAGTATGATACTTTCTGGAATATGGCTGGCGTTGATCCAGGAAATGGAGCTTGGGTTTCTTTGTGGTATGACATTTGGATCCCTGGAGTGGTGCTCGCTGATGCTTTCCCAAGAGTTGCTGCCGCTGCGAGCGCTCCGGACGCCAGGATTCTTGATGCCTTGTCCCTTTCAGGTGAGTTCGTTTCTTGGAAAATTCCTTTATCTACTAACCTTAGAGGGGGGCTGAGAGGGAGAGATATGAGTTGTTGAGTTTGCTTAGTACTAGTGGTTCTGGAAGTATGTCATGTGGGCCCCCTAGGCCTGTCTGGTTTCCAAACCAGGAGTGCTCGTTTTTTGTTCGATCTATGTACAGGTACCTTGCGGGGGAGTCGTTCAAAGGCATAGAGAACTTCCCTGCTGATTCAGTTTGGAGGCCGATTGTTCCAACCAAAATATGCTCCTTTATGTGGCTTGCGGCTCATAAGAGCATTCTCACGATCGATAATCTAAAGAAAAGGGGAATGTCTCTTGCAAATAGGTGTGAATTGTGTAACAGGGAAGAGGAGACGGTTGATCATCTACTTGTGCGGTGCGACTTCAGCAAGGAGGTGTGGGATAGGACGAGGACTGCTTGTGGAATGGTCGAGTCCCCGACAAGGGACATTGTTCAAGTTATCTCCAGGTGGCCCATTGAGTGTGATGATAATGTGGCGAGTTGGATCCGTTATGGTGTGATGCATGCTGTGTGTTGGCAGATTTGGCTTGAACGAAACAGCAGAATTTTCAGGGAAGCCCGTCTTCAACCCAAGTTCGTGGTTCGGAAAGTTCTCAGGGACGTTGTGGAGTGGCTGGTTGCAGGTGGTAAAGTGGACAAAGAGCAGGGCAAGAGGAGTCTTGAGGAGTTTTTGGGTAGGCTCTAAGTGTTTTGGCTTGGGAACTGCTCTCTTCTCCTTCTTTTGCAACTGCGAGTTCTTCTGTTGTGGCTTTGGCTTGGGACCTGTTCTCCTCTCCCGCGTGGGGCAGGTGGTTTTTCCAGATGGTCTCGGGTTGAGTGTGATTCTTCTGTTGGGGTTTTGGGGTGCAACGACCCTCCTGGGGATGCGGTTTGTCCCTTTGTGTTGCTTGATTTGCAAGGGCTTCTGTTTGTGGGCTGGCCCTTTTGTTTGGTTGCCTTTTTGGCGTTGTATTTTCTTCTTTGAGGCTGTAGAGGGGGTCTAGTCCTCCTAGCAGCTCTTCTTCTTTTCTTTCTGTTCCTTGTTTCGTGTTTGGGATCAAGCCTTTTTGATCCGCCTCTCTTCTTCTTTTTGTTGCCGTGCTGTAGTTTCGTTTGTGGTTATTTTTCCAGGTCTGCTGTTCTTTTGACGTTTTTGGTTTTATTATTAAATTTCACCTTCATCAAAAAAATGCTTTCCCTTTTTTATTGCTCGAAGCATATTCTTCAGACTCGTTCATTCACAGGGATAGACCGTAGACGGAGCTATTCAAAATGCAAGTAGAGTTTGGTTGGCTGGTTTACTGTAGAGCTATAGTACCCAACATTCTTTACTCTATGAAAGTAAGTAAAACGACGGTTGACGGCTGTCGATTGTTTCAGGGGAAAAAAAGAACGACGGTTGAGATATGATGCATTGACGACAAGTAGGGGTGTTCAAATGGTTACCATGGTTATAACCAAACCAAATAAGGCTAAATTCCATTAACCATGGAATACAATATCATAACCAAACCGTCCAAACTAATACAACAACCGAATTAACCAAACTAAAGTTTAATCGGTTTGGTTAATTGGTTAACCACATTAACCAATATAAAATCACATTATCATTGACGATGAAAATTTTCCGGTTAATGCAACAATTCGCAATTTATATAATGAATAAAATATAACAATCAACACGTAGTTATAGTTGACCCTTAACAAAAATACATGCAACTAATTGTACGATTAGTATAGAAGTATTCATCTAACAAAAATTTATGACAATGGTATGGGTTAATGAATTGTTGTGTTTGTGTAAATTGACTTAGTCTCTTAGCAATTATCATAGGCTGGAAATGACATTCCTTTCAAGTTTTCATCCATCATAATGTATGAAATTTATCTAAATTAGGCGTCCATATGTTGTGGTCTACATTTTACATATACAAATGCTCAAGCTTTATATTTTATGAGTCTAAAAGGGATGAACGTTAACTCTTGAGTGGTTATGCAAAGTATTAAGTATGTGTATATATTATATGTTAGATATATGACTAATTACTTAACTGGTTAATTTGGTTTGACTGGTTAGGAGTGTCGGAAACCAAACCAAACCACCTAAACCAAACAAGCTAAAAACTTTAACCAAACCAAATAATACTGGTTAAAATGGTTACCATGGTAACCAAACCATTTCAACACCCCTAACTACAAGTGCAAAACATGACTGAAAGTGGGAAGGAAATTGCGCCTTTATTAGTTTCTCAACACGAATTGCGCTTCATACAAAATAAAGACGGACAGAAAGATACAATCATGGGAGAGAAATGAACAACATAAATTAGGAAAGGACACTAGAAATCATTTGCTTGCTCTAGTCTAGACAGGCACACTTGTCTGCATAGGCTGCTGCTGCTGCTGCTACTGATCACATCTAAAAAAGCCACACACCGAGTACTTAAATTTCTTCTCTTCAAGTACTACATCCGACTCAAATTAACTCCAGTTCCCGCTACGTCAGTGACCGTTGATGATCGAGCCATTAGCAGCAGGAGCGCCATCGGCTGCCTTCTGTGAGTAGAATCTTCGATACATCGAGTCGACTTCAGTGAGGTAGTATGTTCCTGGGGCCAAGCAGCTTGTGTCCTTGCTTGTCACAAAGTCCTTCCCTCCATACCTGTGCTCCATTAGCTTCAGGGTTTCCACAAACTTCTCTGGTGCAACCTGCACGGGGAACAAAAACACATGCAATGAGAACCGATGAATCTTGAAAAGAAGGCAAAGGCTAATCTGCTTTTCTAAGAAAGAGGTGTTAAAGCCTTGAAGTTAAGGTTCTGGAAGTGGTTTGTTTGATAGAGATTAGACTTCCCTTTCAGGGAAGCAATATCCCCAAGTTTCTTCATCATTTATCTTCTTGTGTATCATAAAGAATCGAGAAGGGAAGTGGAGGTTTCTTTTAAGCATTGTGCCAAGTTCAAAGTAGTAGTGGAAGTTACCTCAATCCTTGACTTCAATTTTTCATCGACACTCATCACTGAAGCAATGTTGGACAAGCTAAAAGGATATTGTCCTTCCTGTAACTTTAAGGAGAACATTGTGGCCGTTAAACCACTTCCATATGAGAACATTATAATCCGTTTGCCCGCCTGTCATAAGAATCCACAAAAGAACATATGTCAACAGATTTGACATATTATTTCACCAAGTTGTTGGAACATTTTCACTGTATGGGGGGAGGGGGAATACCAGTTCACTGTTCTTGTTGTGCAGAAGGGACACAAAAGCAGCATAAATTGACGCAGTGTACATGTTCCCGACTTGTTTTGGTATCAATGTGGTTGGCTGCACTTTTGAGTCATAAAGCGGCTTGGCAACTTGTTGAGCCACCTGCAAAAATGGCAATCATTAGGTATAAATTGGTTGGCAGTTAACGTAGCATGTCATCATCGATAGACTTAAACTATAAGGACGCCAACTTGTGTGCTGTGGAGCAGTTGATTCAGCAATTTCTAGTCTTGTGAGAAAGATTTTGTTCTGCGACCATTGAGGTTGGCTGGCTAACCTTTTCAAGATCCCGACTTTGGTAGCTCTCATCGCCAGATAAACTTGAAAATGGTGCGAACTTCTCTTTAGCAGCCTCATCAATGGAGCTAGAAAGAGACGTGAATCACAATTGTTTAGTCAATAGAAAAATTATAATCAACTAATAGAGTCCAAGTAAAGCAAAATACAAGAAATATTCAGAAGACAGAAGCCAAAGAACCTAACCTTGCACCCCTGGTGAAGTCATCAAAGACCAAACGGGCAAAGCTCTTCTGTACAAGCTGCAGCAGAGTATTTATTTGAAAAACGTTAACAAGCTGGACAAAAGAGGGGGAAAAAGGAAAAGGTAACTCAAAGTAAAGTTCAGGATACACAACCTACCTTGTTGTAAGGTGAATGAAAAACAATATAGTCAGCATCAGAAATAGAAAATTGCTTTCCTTCAAACTTTTCATACCTACAGAAACAGGACGCCAGGCACGTCAAAGAACTAACTCTCAACAATTCAATACTAAAACCTCAAAAACCAAAAGAGACATACTTGGCACAATAATGCTTGTAGCAGGCATCAAGAGCCATGAGGTAGCACGTTTGAGAAAGCTTGCCATCTACAACCTACAACCACATCAGCAACATTTGGCTACAAGTATTAGATGAATTCCACCACCTGCATATAAAGATATTTTAGACATGCTGTTGCTTCTCAGAAAGTTCAGTTCTTTTGCTGAGATGCACTCAGGATTATGCTCTTCCAATGCCAATGTTAGTAGTGTCCCACTCACAGAAAAGGCCTAAAAAGAAATCGATATGTCTAAGCTCTAGAAAAATGTAGGAGGGTAGTTAGAAGAATCACCGGATACTCGCTTGCAAGGTTCGGTTTGTAAAAGTCGTAGGCATGCGCCATATGGCTCCCCCTATATTTGCTTTCAAAAGCAATAGGTGCATCTGGGCCGATTAGCATGACAATTGCTGCAGCTCCTCCAGTAGGCCTGGCTGGTCCTTCAGCATAGACCTGATGAACACACAAAGACACCTCCAGTAAGTATTAAGTAATCAAATATTGGCATCTGACCATACATGAACAGAATCAATGGAGAAAAGAACCATACCGCACTATCAGTACACACAACAAGCCCATATCGACCGTCCCACGAACTGCTTTCAACCCAGTTTACACAGTTGAACAGAGCTGCAGTTCCTCCATAGCAAGCATTGGTCGAGTCCACACCTTCAATGTCGGTGTTTCCACATTTCTGTTTGTTCCAGAACAAAGAAAAGGCAGAACACGAATCAATAACATGCCTAATAAATGGAATAGACCATGAAAAGCTGCCATCAGGACAAATCCACAAAACCAAATCTCAAGTACCACTAACATCGAACTTAAGCTTGAATGAATTCAGCGAAGTACATCCCTAAATCTAACATCCAATCAAACAACTCCACCTACCAGTACTAAGCTCCAATGGCTGCATGCAACATCCAATATCTGCTAATAATTCCTACTCATCTAAATAGCCATGGATAGTTCCTGCTTTTGAACAGAATGGATGAGCATTCATTTATGTCGATACACACAAGAAAATAACACTGCTTTAAGCTATAAGAGGACAACCCAAAACCAAAAAAAGGAATACAAACAAAAGAATAGGAGAGGAAAGTGGGAAAAGCACCTCAAAGATCTGCATCAAGAAAGTCTTGATCGATTTGCTTTTATCAATCACAGTCTCACTCCCAACTTCAAGGCGACCAACTTGCTTGGGATCAACACCATACTTCTCCAGGAGTGAATTAACGGCAGTCAAGCTGCAGTTCATTAGAGAATCGATTAAAAGGGGAGCCAAACAAGGAGAAGCCGAAAAACGTAAAAGCGACACAATGAAATACACAATCAAACCTCATGGAGATGACGTCTTCCACATCAGTACAAAATGCCATACAATCCTGGCCAAGCCCAATTGTGTACTTCCCTTTGCTTGCTCCATCATGAAACTCCAGCGCTTCCTGTTTGGCACCAACCAAATTTATCAGAAAATAATGACCAAGCAAATTGACAAGGACTGATAAAAGGAGAGAGACATGTAGATTTCATCCCAACTTCGTAAACATCGAAACAGGGTCCATAAACGGGGGGTTTTTTTTTTTAATCCGAAGAAAACCACCAAACTCAATCGTTGTCACACAGCAATTAAGACTCCGAAATCATCAGTTCAGAGGCAAAACCGCCGATTCACTGCAATCGCAGAGTCAAGGGAGGGGAAAGATGGAAAAGGCTTTCCCACGGTAACAGAGTAGGCGAAGTTTGCCAGTTCGCCGGCGGGAGAGAAAGAGAGGGAGAGAGATCGAGAAGAAACTCACCTGTTGAACACAGGTAGGAGGGAAGTAGATTTCCATGGCCAAAATTCCTACATTCTTCACCATTTTTCCAGGAGCGTGATTTTTTCCCAACTTGGTCGGAGGCAGACGGGAATCGAAAAGGGAGAGGAGAGTGGCCGACGATGGAGAAGGGTCACACAAAGATGGTGGCTGGTGGTTGTTGATTGTGAGTGGGAGTGTTAGAAGGCCGTTGAGAGAAGAAGCCTTTATATAGAAAAACGAGGGTGGGCAGAAATCAGAATTTTCCTTCCGCTTCTTTCCGTTTTGCCTGAACTTATTACATCACATGCCAAGATTGTTCAATTTTTGGGTTGGACCGCGGTCCTTTTGGGTTGGCCATTGTTGATGAGCTCAACCGAGCTGATTATTGTTAGTGAACCGATAACCATCCTTTAACACAAAGAACGTCATAGTGATTTTTTTTTTTTTTTGGTCATGAACGTCATAGTGATTTTATTTGTTATTATGAAATCTAATTTACCTTAAAATCACTTTAATTTTTTTATAATTGGATGCAAAGAGCATAAGTATTCCACCAAAAAAAAAAAAAAAGAGCATAAGTATCTTTTAATTATAACCAAACTAGATTCGTTTAAAGACAACT